GATTGTGCAAGAAATGTTGATATTTTCCAATACTTTTTTGGCTTCTTCAATTGTTTCTTCCTTTGGCTTTTGCAAGAAAAATCTTCATCTCTGCCTCACTCCTTCCCCCACCCCCACTGACACACACCCACAGGCACTTTGAGGCCTCTCTGTCCCTTCCCTCCCCTCCCTTCCCCTCCCTTCCCTTCCTGAAGGAAACCACTGAAAATGAGGAAAGAACTAAAAGAAAGAATCCCGTCTCTCCTCCAGAGGAGTTTTTCAGTTTTTGCTGCTGGTCACTGGGAGGTGTTGAGTTTTGGGAGACTTCTTTTCTTTGCCCTTCTCTTTTGTCACCCCAGGCCCAGCTGATAGCCTGCCTCCCCTCTGGGCAGGTGTAGGGATTCACCTATTTCCAGTCCTCTCCTGTGTATTCTACTGTTCTCCTTCTGGGGTCCCTGGCTGCTCAGAGACCTTGGGCCTTTGGCAATTTCCCTGGGCTTCCGCTCTCCTCCAGAGGCCTAGGCTTAGCCAGAGAGCTGCAGAGAGGCGGCCCCACAGTCCCGAGGGCGGACGCAGGGGCCAGTGATTAAGTAGCCAGGTCTTTAGCTGCCTGCATCCTTGTTTGTCATAACTCTGCTATTTTGGTCTCTGTGACTTGTGGCTGCACCATGATTAGGGTTTGATTACTATCACCAAAGCGACTAAAAGATGAAAATAGAAGCCACAACAGGAAATAAACAACTGCAAATGAGATATTTTATTCCACTATTCCCTGCCAGCAAATGATTAAAATCAAACTCATTCACAATAGTTTGGTGAACTCCTAAACTCTTCTTAAAGGATCAGAATGGTCTGGAACTCTGTTTTTGTGGGTCTCATTTATGCCTGTGAAGGGAAGGAGGGACCTCCCTTTCTAGGCACACCAGCCAGGCACAGCCCTTCTACCTCCCTGGCTTCTGGATTCTTTCTTGGAAAGGAAAGGAGTGTGAAAAGAATGTGATGGGGTGGGGCGGCTGTCAGGAGGGTTGGGATGTTAACTGATTCAGGGGATGCCAGGGAGCCATAAAGCACCACCAAACATTGTAGCTACTTGCCCAGCATCCCACCCACTGCTACCCAGGGTAGTAAAATGAAGGAGGAAAGCCGGGTAGAGAGGGCAAAATAGGGGTGACGCCTGAATTAAAACACCCACAATTACACGAGATGGGAACATAGCTCTGCAAGTATATGCACGTTCCACCCAGACAAGCTGTGACGTCAGATTCAACTCCTGAAACACCCACTAAACCTACCTGCCCTGTGTGCACTCTGGCCTCTCATCACAAAGGGTGTTAGCACCACTGGCCAGATTTCCAGAAGATTCTTCAGATTCTCCAAGTAGCCAAGAAGCTGTATTAGAACGATGACATTTGCTTTCTGTGTTTGTTTAATCCTTCATGACACTTTGTAGTCTGGCCTGGCCTCTCTTCTAGGGAGACCCAAAACAGGGAGAGGGAATCGGACTCTGAGAATACAAGACACTTGCCCAGAAAGCCTTGGAAAGCCTGCCAAGGGCTCACCTAACCTGAGGCTCACTCTTGGCACCAGTTATTTAACCAGTGAACGGCAGAGCCCCAAACTAAAACCAGGTTTTCTGACTTCTAGTTTGCTCTTCCTAAGTCTTTTGAAGGTCAATGTATTGTATATTTTCTCAGACACCCCCCAATGCCATTTGGCTCTTTTGCCTTTCACTGCCTATGGGGATGGGATCATCCCTCCTCCATTCCCTCCCTGGCTCTGTCTTCACACACACACACACACACAAACACAGACACAATTTCAACAGAGAACCTTTTAATTTATAAACAAAATTATGTTATATAATTACAGCCTATGTGACTTTACAAAGTAAATATTCAGAATGCCAACCTCTGCCCTGCCCATGGTTCTGTGCTGTTGGTATTACAATCTTCTAGGCTCATGAGCTCCCATGCCTGGAGAGAATCATGTGACCAATGTTGCCAATATCCTTTCATATTCATGTCACCAAAGGTGATTTTGTTGGGATAGAGGGTTCCAAATGCACCTTTAAGTCCTATCAAATTATAAGTGTGGATTAATGTATGTGTGTGTGTGTATATATATATATATACACACATACACACACACACATATATATATGTGTGTATGTATATGTGTGTGTATATATGTATATACACGTGTGTATTTGCTGTACTGGAGATTAAATCTGGGGCTCCCACTGAGGTACACCTCCAGTCCTCTAAATATTTAGTAAGTATCTCTTGCATGTAAAAAACCTTCCAAATTGCTGGAGGAAAAGGGCTTGAATTATAAAGATTCATCCTTGCCTTTTCCTTTTAAGAACAATTTAGTCAGGGAGATGCAAATAGTATATCACCTTTTCTAAAGATTCTTTAAATCCTCATTAAGTTTCATTGCTATCTTGACCTCCCAATTCTAAGTGACTTTAAAAAACAAACCGTATTTCAGTGAATAAGATGCGAGGTTAGATCACCATGCCAACTAGTGGCCTCAACACTGACGCCTATGTAATATTTAAACACTATAGTACGTTTCTCGGCACCAGCAGCTTTCACCACGTAAACGCGCTCAGGTCCTTTACCCAACTAACGCCTTTCCCATTTCCACGCAGAAACCTCCAGCTGGGAATACCCATCTCTGGATCCTGGGGTCAGGGGATAAACTCTGATTCTAAGCACCTTGAAAGCTACGAGGCCAAGGAGGGCGCGGAAACAGGACCCGCATGCAAATGAATGCCCCGGGCTGGTCTGCGCGCTGGGTAACCTTCCCGCGCCCGTAGGCGGAGTGGCGGGTGGTGGAGGTCTTCCGGGCCCTGGAGGAAACCTGCCGGCGGCGCACAGGCGAGTCCCCTCCCGCTCCCAGTTCTCCCGCCAGGATGCTACCCCTCGCAGCTCGTCAGCCGGCCAAATGCATTCCAGAGCTGTGCACAAGACACACTTCTCCAGGCAGTCCTAGAAACCGGAGCCCGGAGCGGGAGAGGGCGGGAGGGAGCGCGCGGCCGCTGCTGAGGTCACATTCGCGCCGCCTCCCCGCCCTCGGTGGCCCGGCTGTTCCCTCCAGCGCACACTTCCCAGGGCCTCGGTCCAGTGCGGTGTAAATGTCTTTTAAACAGAGGGAGCGCTCTCCTCCCCTTTCCCTCCCTAGCAGCCAAGGGATCCGCCGCCAGGGCCTTTAAAACAAAACGAATGAATGAAGCGCTAGGGCGAGCGCGCGCGGGACTGCCGCTGCGAAGCTCCGAAGGGTCTAAATCCGGCCACCGACCGGCTCGTTCCGCTCCAAAACTCGCCGGCGAAGCCCGCTCGGTGCTCCTGACTCTTTCAATTTCTCCTCTGCTCCTGCAGGATCTCAGCCGATTCTGGGAGCTTTTCTGTCCCCCACCTTTCTCATCCTGCCCCACAGGTCCCCCCACAGCAGACCCGGGAGCCGGTGGTGGTGGCGGGGGTGGGGGGAGAAATAGCTTTTAGAAACCCGATCTGTTGTTTGCGAAACACAATCGCTTTTTTTTTTTTTTTTTAAAGCGGCGGGGGGTCTAGGCGGCCACGGGGCGGGGGCGGGGGGGGGGAGGCGGCGGCGGCGGCGGCGGGGGGGGGGGGGGGGGGGGGGGGGAGGGGGGGGGGAAGGGGGCGGAGGCGGGAGGCCTTGCGGGAGGCGGCGAGCCTCGGGCACACTCGTTGCTGCTCGGCGCAAGGAGGATCTTGTCCCTTAGCCGCGCCAGCCGAGCCAGCCGGGCGCCGTGCTCGGTCTGCTCGCCGCGCCGGAGAGAGCTGCCCGAGACGGAGCCAGCCCGCCGGCGCCGAGCCGCCGAGCGCCCGGCCCAGGAGCCCCTGAGTGCGGCGCGGCGAGCCCCCGGCGGCAGCAGAAGGACCCGAGCGCCAGGAGAGGGCGGACGGGGGACAAGGAGGCTCCCGGGCGCGACGAGGAGAGTCTCGGAGGAGGAGGCGGCGAGAGGACACCCGGGCCTCCTGCCGCCACAGCCGGGTCGGGCCAAGCAGCTTATGCGGGGAGCGCCGGCGGCCAGCCGCAGCCAGGGGAGGGGGAACCCGCGGTCCCCGCACTAGCGATCAGCCAGTGCCCAGGGAGGCGAGAGCGCGCGACCCGTCAGTGGCCCGCCGCCGCGCCGCCCTCCCCCTCGCTGTCAGCCCCGCCGGGGCGCAGCCGCCGCCGCAGCATCTTCTGCCCCTACGCCCCCGCCAGCGCTGAGGAAGTCCCCGCCGAGGACCTGGGCCCGGGAGTGCAGGAGGAAAGACCAGAGACTCCCCTAAAACACCCAGATGCGCAAGATTGAAGGAGTGTAGCCAAAGCTTTCTGTGGATTTAAAAAAATATATATACGATTTTTTTTTTTTTGGCAGAAGAAAAGGAAGACCATCGGGGCTCTGCAAGAAAAAAAGGGGTGTGTGTAACTCATGGATACGTTTCTCCACCTCTCAAACATCTTGTTCTACTTTGTAAACATTTTCTTTTTTTAAACCTCGGCTCCAGCGGGACGCCCCCAGACCTCCGAGGTGCGAGGAGGTGGTGGTTTTCATTTGGGGCTTTGCATATTTGGTTTTTAGGTTTTGAAGAGAGCCTTCTCTTTTCGCCAGACGTCTTATGCGGGGTGAAGTCCACTCGGCCCCCTCCCCCGAGTCTTCGTGTGCACGGAATTCGAGGAGATCCGGTTACTAAGGATATAGAGGAAAAAAATAAATCGCGTGCCTGCTTTTTTTTTTTTTTTAATTGCCTGCTTCTCCCCACCCCCAAATTAAGTTGCTTAGCAAGGGGGAAAGAGGCTTTTTCTTTCCTTCAGAAGCCCAGCCGAACGCCTTTGGTTTTTTGCCCCCAAGGATCTTCCATGTAGGAAGCCGAGGCTGGCGAGCCCGACCCTCGGGAGCCACTACAGGGGGGCCTCTTTTTGGGGAGGCGCCGACTGGGGCAGGCTCGGACGCCCCCAGGGAATCGGCGGCCGCGTCCCTCCGGGGCGCGCCGGGGCCCGAGAGCCGCGCAGGGCGCCGGCCGTGCGGGGTGGGGCAGCCGGAGCGCAGGCCCCCGAGCCCCGGCGGGCGCCCCCGGGCCCCCGCGCGCGCCCCGGCCTCCGGGAGACTGGCGCATGCCACGGAGCGCCCCTCGGGCCGCCGCCGCTCCTGCCCGGGCCCCTGCTGTTGCTGTTGTCGCCTGCGCCTGCTGCCCCAACTCGGCGCCCGACTTCTTCATGGTGTGCGGAGGTCATGTTCGCTCCTTAGCCGGCAAACGACTTTTCTCCTCGCCTCCTCGCCCCGCATGTTCAGGACCAAACGATCTGCGCTCGTCCGGCGTCTCTGGAGAAGCCGAGCGCCCGGCGGCGAGGACGAGGAGGAGGGCGCTGGGGGAGGCGGAGGAGGAGGCGAGCTGCGGGGAGAAGGGGCGACGGACTGCCGGGCGCATGGGGCCGGTGGCGGCGGCGTGGGCAGGGCTGGCTGCTGCCTGGGCAAGGCAGTCCGAGGTGCCAAAGGTCACCACCATCCCCATCCCCCAGCCGCGGGCGCCGGCGCGGCCGGGGGCGCCGAAGCGGATCTGAAGGCGCTCACGCACTCGGTGCTTAAGAAACTGAAGGAGCGGCAGCTGGAGCTGCTGCTTCAGGCCGTGGAGTCCCGCGGCGGTACGCGCACCGCGTGCCTCCTGCTGCCTGGCCGCCTGGACTGCAGGCTGGGCCCGGGGGCTCCCGCCAGTGCGCAACCCGCGCAGCCGCCCTCGTCCTACTCGCTCCCCCTCCTGCTGTGCAAAGTGTTCAGGTGGCCGGATCTCAGGCATTCCTCGGAAGTCAAGAGGCTGTGTTGCTGTGAATCTTACGGGAAGATCAACCCCGAGCTGGTGTGCTGCAACCCCCATCACCTTAGCAGACTCTGCGAACTAGGTAAGAAGTTGTTCTGTGCCTACTCTTTCCTCTCCCTGGTGCGCAAGTGCTGGAAGAAAAGTCCTGGTGGGCTTTCTGTGTGTGTGTGTGTATGTGTGTGTGTTGTGTGGGCACTCACCTTTCCGAGGGGACAATATGTCCTCTCCTGAAGCAAACGTGGGGGGGACTAAAACAGAGAAGGGACAAGGGGAAGTTCGAAGGGCATTCCTTGGGGGTTCCCTTCCTGGCTTTTCTCCTCTGTCGCCTCGAGGGTGTCCATGGGCACTGCTTATGCATTCACCGTACAGACTTGCATCTAAAAACCAGAGGCTCTTGTTTGCAGATCAGCAAGGGGGTGCAAAGAGAAGTGGGGGTCACGCCTCCCCTTCACCCGGAAAGGCACTGAGGTGTGTGGCCGAGTTGGATACGGTCCAAGCCCGCCAAAGAAGGCTGGGGAAAGCGAGCTATAAAAGCTGGAAGGTCTCCGCAGCTTTAGTAAATAAGGAGAGTCACGTCGGGCACAAGTGGCCCAGATACTGCCTTGGCCTCGCAGCTTCCGAGTTTGGGGGCAGAGGATTAGGATGGGAGGCCGAATTGGGTATCTACTGTCCCTAAGCTCTGCCAGCCCCGGGTGGAAAGGAACCGGCAGCCAGGAGAAGTTGGCTGCCCCCTACTTTTTCCTTTCTTCAGCACAGAAAAGTATACAATTAATGGTCGTTAGAATGGCGGTTTCCCAGCGTCTCGGTGACGCTGCTGCCCCTTAACCGCGCTGGGGCCTCGGCTTCAGGCTGAGACCCCAGGCGCCCACCCTTTTATCTTTCCCTCCCCATCCTTCTCTGTTCCCGGCGGCTTTGTGTACGGGTGGGGGGGCGCACCCTAGATGCCTGCAGAACCCCCAAGTTCACACCAGCACACTTGGGGTGCATCTCCCAGGTGGGCTGGGAGGGGGGCCGGTGCCCCCCCACCCGCGGTGCCGGGCGGGGGCGGAGGCGAGCTGCCCTCCTGGGGGCGGGCGGGTGGGGGAGGGGAGCGGGGTCTCGAGTTCCAGGATTCCGAGGGGGCCTGGTTGCCCCCGGCCCTGTGAACGGTGAAGTGCGGCTTGGTCTCTCGGCCCAGCCGGTGGTTTCCAGCCGGGCCCGCCGAGCGCGGCGGCGGCGGCCGCAGACGCAGAGGAGCGGAGCGCCGAGGCTGGCGCCAGGCGGCCTCTTTTGTTTATCTGACAGCTAAATATCAAGGCAATCACCGCCTCGCGGCCCGGCCTCCAACCCCCACAGCTAAGACAAACAGTTGGGCTGAAAGAATGCCTCTGTTATCACAAGTTTCTATCTCTCTTTCTCATGGCTCGCACTTTATATTCTCTTACTTTTTTTAATTCCAGAGTCTCCCCCCCCTCCCTACTCCAGATACCCGATGGATTTTCTCAAGCCAACTGGTGAGTCGATGATTTTCAAAATATTTTATCTTAAGTTAGAACCGGAACCTCTAGAACCCCGGCTGTGTATGTCTGGGCTGCTGCCTGGGAGGTGCTTGGTCCAGTTGGTGCTAGGTTTTCCTCTATGGGCAGTTTGAATTTTTCTGTTGTTTTGCTTTTATTATTATTATTATTATTATTACTTATTAACTTATTTATTTTTGTGAAAGTGTTTCCTTCATATTCTTTACATTTTGTTTCTCTTTTTCGTATTTGCAAATTGGTCGTATTGACCAAAGTTAGCTCAGCTTTTTTAACTCAGGGAGGCTTTAATCCATGCGGTGTCTTGGAAGCCAAATAGGACAGGTTGATGGGAACATTCAGAGACTTTGTAAGTGCCAGGAGAATCAGTGGAAAGGATGGAAGGGATGATCAGATGGAAGGGAAGACTGTTTCAGAAGTTGCAGAGGGGACTTGGGTTTGGGGTGAGACACTAGAACACTTAAGAAGCATGGGCAACAGGTAAAGGGAAGGTCCAGCCCCTGCCCAGCCACCTCCAGAGTCAGCCCTCCTGGGGTTTTCTCAGAATTCTTGGTAGGGCCCATAAAAGTTTTTAGCATAACTCTGCCTGCCTGTTGCTTTGTCACCGGATGGCATGGGGCCAGGGCAGAAGCCCATTTGAGACTGGCACCAGCCCCGTTGCGGTTGTCTGCATTCAACTTCTGGCTGGCAGTACAAGGGCCCATCCTTTGGAGCTGTCAGTGCCAGGGGACAGGGTCAGCAGAACGGATTGGGGATGACAGCAGGAACAAGCTTTGTTTCCTGGAGCCCCTTCTTACAGAGGGAGATTCATTTGCTAAAAGTACAGATTGTAACTTTGTTTTTTATGTCTGAATGCTGGGTGCCTGAGAAAATATAACCGCTTGTGACATTTTTATTTTGCCAAGGTTCTGGGAGAAGGAAAAGTGAAGGGTTGGGCACCATTTAGCTCCTGGAATTCTATAAGTCCTTCCGCCTCATGAGTTTTGGCTGTCGGGCCTTTTCCCCCACTAATTAAAAGTTTTGCTGGGGCGTTGTCATAAATTAAATACTTTAATGAACGTGTAACCGAAGCCCATGCTCTGCAGCCAGCCCTCCCGGGACTCCACCAGCTCTCAAGTTGGGAAGGCGTTTCTGCTTGCCTGGTGCCTGTCTAATAAGTGACCTGCAAAGCATGTGATATTTTGCTTTCGATTTACAAAACACTAGATAAATGGCCATTAATGAGGAGATAAGCAGCTCTCTGTATTTGTAACAAACGTTAACTAAAAATTACCAAGCTGTTTTCCCAAAGAATGTAACTTGCCTGAGTTTTTGGCTTAAAGAATCAAGACTAGGTTGTTCCAAGGGACCATCACTGTCTAGGTTTTGCTTTTCTTTCTGTATTCTTCAAATTTGAAGGTTTTCCTTAAAAGAGAGAAAATTTCATGGGCCCAGGGGTAGAAACTGCTAGGGTCAGTGTTCCCCAAAACCCCCAAAATCATAGAAAAGAAGGACCTTGTTCTCTTGGGTTTATTGCAGACACTGGGATAATGTGTTCTCAGGATTTAAGCAGTCATTCTGTCAGGTCAGGGGCCTCCTTTTTGGTGAGTAGAGTGATATATTTATTCATTAGCAAGTGTTGACATTAGGTAGCAAAATGTGTGTAAACAGAGAAGCCACAAAGACAGGAATGTGCCATTTCCAGAAGGTGGGGGGGGGGGAGAAGTGTTCTTCAGAACAGCCAATAGGAAGTGATTAACCTGCTAATCGGAAACCCAAACAGCTGGTTACTCACCCAAAACATTTTGTTTAAAACAAAACAAAAAAAGGAAAACAACAACAAAAAGACAACTGTTGCAGAAGAACCTAGGGACAGTAACAGATGAAGCCCCCCAGGAGAGGAATGGTCTGGAGCTGGAGGGGGACAAGTCTGGAACTGGTTTTGCTGGTGGTGGTGGCCAGGGGTGTTGCGGTTAGACACCCAGATGGGAGGGTACTGCCCTAGCCACCTACCCGCACCTAGTACCACAGAGTGCTGGGCCTGGGAATTTAGACGGGCTGCTTACATTGCTCAGCCGAAGTTGGATCTGTGCTCTAGGGTTCCTAGGTGAGCAGGCATAAGGTTTTATAATGGACAACTGTTTGAAGTCTTGACCAGTTACGCAGCTATGAAGTTTCCAGCTTGAGAAGAGGAGATGGGAAGGGTGGGTAGGGGTAGGTTCCACTGAGTTGAAGGAGCCTTTGGCGGGCTAAAACTGGGGGCTCCATTTTGTGGTGGTTTAAGCTCTCTTGCTACAGCCTCTGGGAGGGCCCAGACTTTGAACAGCTGGCACTGTGTGGTCCCACACCAGCAGAGTCATCTTCCAAGGAGTATTAGAGGGGCCTGAGCCTCAGGGCAAAGTGGTTGTGACTTGTGGCTAATGGAAGGTAGGAAGACTCCCTATTCCACAAGTAATAAGAATTTGCTGTTTGCTGCTAGATTTCAGTTTATGGAGTGAGGAATCTGAGACGGTAACTTTGTGGGTTCTGCTTCCTGTGTGCTCTATGTCTGCTCTCTGGAAGGTTTGAAGAACCCAGGTGGCCAGTGACCATTCATAGATTCAGTTTCCAAAGCCTAGCAGAAAGTCTGGTATCTTGACCTGAGATGGCACCTTGCCTTTGCCTCTTAACTTTGGTCCCTAGGTCTCTCTTAACTTTTCCTGGTCTCACTTTAAATCCAGGCGATGAAAGAGTTTGATTAGATGATTCATTCATTCATTCATTCATTTACTGCTCCTTTCATTCATTCCATAGGTGGAATGATGGGCCTCCCTAAAAATTAGAATGTGGCAGTACAGCGTTCTTCTGTCACTACTAGGGTTTCTTTGAGGTTTGAACCACCTGGGGCAGAGCCCAGGTATACTGGTTGTGATGGTGGTGGACTCTGATGCCAGCAGTGCTTAGGAAGCTCAGAACTAAGTTGGTAAGCCTGCCCTGGCTCTCTGGGTAGGGACAGTTTGGTGAAATTCCCTCAAGTTCATTCTGTGGTTGCTCCCCAGGCTTGGGGTTTTAGACTTTGTGGTAACAAACCCTCTGCTTTAGAAACTCTAGGACAGAGGGTGAGTCTTTTTTTCTCCCCCAGAACCCAGCATGGCCTGGGTGCTTTTTGTTAAATAGCAGTAGATGAGAACCAGGAACAGCCTAGTGCTGCTGACTGCCAGCCTGGGTTTTAGGGAGCAGGAGACACAGGCAGATGGTGAGACTCTGACTTTGGAAGTCTGTCTTTGTGGGTAAGGGATAAAAGTCTGGCCCCCTTGATCTTTACAAGCCAGGCTGTAGCTTGAGGCCAGTCTGGATGCTGAAAACTGGTTCAGCCTGGCCACCTCCAAGGAGAGTTGTTGAGACTCAGTGGCCTGCCGGGGGTTTGCGGGGAGTGGACATAGCCATGGGCTAGGAGCTGGACTCTTGGGAATGGCCTGGCTCGCTGGGTGGCCCCTTGAGCTAGTCAATGACGCCTCAGTTTACCTGGGTGCGTGTGGAACAGGTATGTTTTGCTACTTCACAGGGCTGGTAGGGAGGCCTAATTAACGTTTGTAAATCCCTCCTGAGATCAAAGGCACTGCAGAAGGGCAGAACACCATTTCATAAAAAACGTGTGTGGTTGCCAGCGTTGGAGCTGGCTTACCTTTGATGTGAGACAGGCTGACACCCCGACTGTGGTCTCAGCTCTGCCTGGAGAGGCCAAGCTTTTCCTTTGAAACACACCTTGCCCCTGGCATTCAGCCAGCCTGAGCTGGGGGGAGTGGCTATGGATAAGTCATCATGTTTAATATGGGGTGGGTGGAGGAAAGGGGGATGAGAAGTCTATCTCTAGAAAATGGTGAAGGCCCTCAGAGTAGTTTAGAAAGTACAGGGCATACACCAATTAACCAGTAACTCCATTTCCTGCTTCTCTCTATTGTTTTCCATTTGATTAAGTATATCCTGCAAAGCTGTATATTCCTGTTAGGAATTAGACTCTCTCCTGATGAAATGAGATTACACACACAGCCTCCTGCCCTGCCCTCCCCTTGCCCTCTTCTGCCTGCCCTCCTCCTGCCCCTCCCCATTTAGGAGGGGGTCTTTTGTTGATTTGTTCTTGATGGTGCTAGGGATCAAACCCAGGGCATTTACCACTGAACTAACCCCTAGTCCAGCCCAGCCCAGGAAAGTTCTTCAAAAGTTATTATTCCAGTCTGGGAGAGAGTGTCAGAGGATATGGGAGAGGGAAGGACTCTGGATTAGAGAGAGAATCTCAGCATTTAAGGGGGACAGACAGCAGAAGCTTGGAGATCATAACGATGACTGGGAGCTCTGCAGCCTGGGCTTGGCCACCTGTAATTTGTTGCCCCTGTTTCAGCGGAGTTGGAGGAATGTACTGTGCCATCCAAGGGCTCCCGTGGACTGCTTGCCTTCTGTCTTCTCTTTGGTTAGGTTTCCTTTTTGCCAGTGTTGTCAAGGGGGGCTCCACTTAGAAACTGGTAATGCACACCCCAGAGACTCGTTGCTGGTGGCCTGGTGGCCTTGGGTGGAAGGACTTGAGTATATACCATCCAACTTGGTGCATTAGCTGTGGAGCTGGGAAACACCATTCTCAGGCTTTCTACATAGACTTCAGGAAGTTTGGCATTGGCAATGGTGCATGAGAAATTGACAGGGTCCTGTGTATTTGTGTTCCATGGGGCTAATTAGTTGTGGTTCATGGGCATTATTTTTTGTTTAAATTGCTTGGAGGGCGGTTGTAGAGTCTATTTCTCAGCTGGAATTGTCATTATCCTCATTAGCATTGAGGTCACTGTGCTGAGCACCTGAGGGTGATGGACAAGTCCAGTTAGGGCACAACAGAATCTGAAGGTGGAAAAGGATTAGCCAAGGCAGCAGGAGGAAACTGAGTGCCTGAAAGATTTTTGTCGGAGCTGAGATCAAGCAGCCTTGTGGAATGGGGTTGCCCGGGAAGGTTTCCAGAAATGGGGGAGGTTTGGACAGTTTGGAAGCAGGGAGAGCATTTCCCCTCGGGCTTGGAGCCTGGCTGGGAAGCTTCTATCTTGATCTGGTGGTGCTTACACAGGTGTATACATGAGTCCACTTGAAACGTTTATGCTCTACTATACTCAAGTTAGACCTCAGTTAAAAAGGAAAAGAAAGACCAGGGCAAAACCTTCATGGATGGGCGTATCAGAGAGGCTACCTCCTCTATTAGGGAGGACACAGCAGCCAGGGTGGAGAAAGTATACCTGAACCTCCTTTGACCTTGGAACCACCAAGTCCCCTCAATGGGGACTTGTAATTAAGAGGAATTGAGCCAGTCTGTGATCCAGCCTGACTTGACTAAAGATTAAGGGCTGCCCCAGAGCCCAGAGAGGTGACAAGGTGCTGTGGTCTGTCTCAGGATGGGCAGAACATTGATAATCTGCACCAAGGCTGGCCCTCTGTTGTGCTGTTTAGGCTGTGCCTAGAGACGAGTCGTGGTGTATTCATATGTTTCTCCCCCTCTTTGAATCCACAGCAGACTGTCCAGATGCTGTGCCTTCCTCCGCTGAAACAGGGGGAACAAATTATCTGGCCCCTGGGGGGCTTTCAGGTAAGATGCTTTCTCTTATTTTCCTGGCAATTCCAAGATTTTTAGAAATTGCTGGAGTCTGAAGGAAGGGGGTGGCCTTCTGCCACCCCAGCTGGTCTGGAGTCGTTCTCATTCTCATTTTTATGTGCCTTAAACTGGATGCGTTCAGGGAGGCTGGTGCTGGAGCTCATCGTCCTACAGTCCTTTATGCAGCATTGGCCAGTTCCATGGATGGGGAAACTGGAGCTGGCCAGGGGCTAGTTTTGTGTTGTTTTGTGGTGGTTTTAAGCAGCTCATGGCTCGAGGGACTTCCACTTGGTGATTTTGTGTCTTGAACTCATGCATTTAAGCTCTGTTTTTGCCCTTGCTCTTTGTGCATGAGGTGGCTTGAAGCAGGGGGGATGCACCTTTAGGGGAACTTGTTGAACCAATTCCAAACAGATTCTTGAACCTCCTTTCCAAGTCCTGATTGCCCTTCCAGCTCTGTGCAAAATTCTCCAGCCCATGTCTGGGGATAGGAACTACAGGGCAGGTATGCTGCAGACAGTGGATTCCCTAGCTGTCCCCTGAGGGCAGGCTTTCCTCTGGTGGCCCACAGGCTGCGGCCCTGGAATGCTGGTGCTAGAGGATCATGGGATGGAGAAGATGCGCCATTGGGGAGCCTATCCCTCATTGTCCCTGAGGACACCAGGAAAGGGTGATACTGGGGGAAGCTCACTGGCACTGTGTAAGTGAGAGGCAGATAGTTCTTTTCTAAAGACATTCTCTTTCTTCCTGTTTCTTTCACCTCACCACGCCATCACTAGATTTTAAGAAGTAGCTAAAGCCAGAGAAAGTCACCTGGCGGGTAAAAAGCAAGAGTAGTTGTAGCAGAGTTCTGGTCATTTTCTTGCCTTTGGGCCACTGTGTAAGGCTATAGTGTAGCAGCTCAAATGGAAGCAGTAAAACTTGTTTTGCACCCTCCTTTGTGGGGTTACCCCCTGACTAATTGGTCAAGCTTTGCCACCACGTGCTGCTCACATACAGCTCCTCCTGGGTAGCTCCCTCCCCTCCAGGAGTAGAGCTTGCTGAGTGTCTGTGGGGAGACCCTTGTTTGTTTTGATTTCAGGGCAGTATATACTCTGTTATCTGAGACACTGGGTATTGTTTACTCAAGGCTTCTAATGAGAACTGAGCAGGAAAAGAAGGACCCAGAGGAGAGGGGGCTTTGGGCAGGGGGTGGGGGGTGGACGGTGGCTGAGCAGGGAGCCAGCAGGCAAGCACAGTGATGTGTAAATTGTATTTTTTCTGCTTTCTAAGGCTGAGGGAGTTGAGAGAGTTCTTGAAAGAAAGGGACAAGGAGAGGAAAGGGTCTGAGCAGAATAACATGCTCGGGATGTTGTTGGATGCTTTTATTTTTTTAAACCCTGGGTGTGCAGGGAGGAGCCCCAGCCCCTCCAAACCACATGAAATAAGCAAGGGAAGTGGTAGCTTTTGAAAGGGGCTTTTCGGAAGGTTTGTCTTATTGATAACATCTTGTCTGTCTCCTCTGCTGGAGGAAATGACGACACCAGCCTGAGCCACCACCAGCCTGAGTGCCTCCTCGCCCAGCCCCAGGAGCCAAACTGTGTGACCCGGGCAGCCCTTCCGAGATGGGTAGCCTTTTTGCTCCCCTCCAATTCCTCCAGTCCTCGAAAGAAACCAGGGGCTAAAACAATCATGACCGACTCCCCCCAAGACCCCCAGATAATTGCAGCCACGTAGATTAATGTGGAGCTGCTAGGAAGAAGGGGTGTGTCTCTGAAGAAATGGTGTGGTTTGACAAAACTGCAAAAAGAAAAAAAGGGGGGGGGCCTGCACATGAAAGAGCATTTGTTTTGAATTTTAGCTCTTGATTTACTAATTCCCAGGGCTTCAAAGTTGGAGCTCTTTCTTCTTCCTGAGCGTAGTTGGAACCATGTATTAATAACGTGCCGCGGGGGGAGGAGGTAGGAACTCCTTTTTGAGTTGATGCCAGTGGTTTGGGGGTGTCCGGAGAAGAGTTGGTGGGATATACTCTTTGTGGTGTGTATGACCCCCGAAGACGACTGCAGCCAGGGCAGGACGGAGGGTTTTGTGAACTGCAGAAAGACTGGACCTCGTCCTTTTCCAGAGGTTGAGGGTTCCTGGGGTGGCCTGGGCACCTCTGCCTTGGGGCCACAGGGGTGTGGCAGCTGAATGGGGCCAGACACGGTGGGGGAAGGGGTTAGCATAGCAGACCCCAGGATGGGGGTGCGAGCTGGGCATCAGGGTGGGGAGCAGCCAAAGCGCCTGTGAGGGGGTTCTGCCTCCTCCCCCTTGAAATAACCTCTCGGAGTCTCTTTCACAGGCCCTGTGTGCTGTTTTCCTTCCTGTCCTGCCCTGACTGAGACCGGCTTAATGAATGGGGCTCAGTTTAGGGTGGGAGGAAGGTCGGCAGCGGGAGCCAGAGCTTGATTCTCTTGGCAAGGGAAGAAGGGAAAGAAAAAGCAGCCGAATGTGAAAATGCGAAAATGCGGTGCCTCAGAGGTGGGGGTGGGGCGTGCTCAAAGGCCTACCCCCTCCTGAGATGCAGGGGTGACTCCAAGGCTGGCCCTTCCCTTTCCTGCGCCCTTGCAAATGGCTGGCCCAGAGGAAGGGGAGTGGGCGGGTAGAGCCCAGGGAGCAGGGCCGCTGGCTGCAGGTTGGAATTCCAGCCTCGCATCTTGGCTGGGGGGGGTGGGTGCGGGGGACCGACAGGCCCAGTCCTTCCTTGCAAGTGAAACACACCCCACCCCTGCAAGTATCCTCAGTCTGGGAAAATGGATCATTTTTAGAAGGCAGTGACTTTGGTTCCAGGAGATTGTACTTTCATTTCTGACAGCCGGCTCTCTGAGACAGATGGATTGCTCAGTGCAAGCTTATGTGTGTGTGTGTGTGTATACATGCACTGCGTGCCTTAGACATACAGACAGTCCCGTGCGCAGACACGCGAGCACGCATATGCCCACAGGCAGGCGTGGAGATAGGCTAAGGTCCTGTCCCATGTTTGGTTGACGTCAGAGGAGCCTCTCCATGAAGATGTGGCCTTGGGTGGTGTTTGTGGATTGGTACTGTGATTTGGCAGCCTGAGTTCAGCTCTCTCAGCAAGCGTGTCTTTTTTGAAAGGAATGCAACTCCAGATCAAGCCCTTGCTTCTGCTTGGACACATGTGTCATGGCTCAGGAAGATCCACCTTGGCAAGGTCTGACATATCCGGGAAGCTTCTAGGTCCAGCTCAGGGGTGGAAATGGAAAGGATTTGCTCCCACAGCTTCCACTGTGTCACTAGTAATGAAAAGCATGTGTTCGAAGCTGTCATCTGTGAGCCTCCATCTGGAGTTTCTGGGGGTCTTGCGCTTCACCTGTCTGCTGTCCTCCTTTGGGTGGAAGGAGCAACCTCTCACCTGTTCTAGGTTATTCAGTGACAGACCCGTCCTCCAGCCGCCACCACCAGATATAAATGCCTGGCACTGGCTGGTTCTCAGCCAGATGGACTTCCCCAGCCAGAGCAGGATTGGAGGCCACCAGCCTTTCGTAGTTATTTAAGCTTCAAAAGAGGTGTCCCTGTGATTTCCTGGAGGGAGGTAGGGGTATCAGAGGCCAAAATGATCACACGTCTTGCAGGGGATTGAGGGAACCCCATCTCTTGGCTGTGCCAGCATGCTTATTTGGAAGGACATCATCCCAAGGGGGGCCAGTTCCTTTGCTAAGGTCTTAAGATCCATGGCACCCAAGGCTGGGAGTGGGAGCATCCTTGCATCAGCACCCACTTGAGGAGCAATGTCTGTTTCCTCCTCTTTGATCCCTGCTGCCATCTGTCTTGGCTTCAGAAAAGAGCCTCCGAAAATGCCTATATAATCTGAAAATGCCTCCCTGGCTCAGCCCATGGCCGACTTGGGCTCAAACCAAGTAGCTTAGGAAAGATTGCTCCATCCTGTTTTAAGGGAAGCTATTCAGCTGCATGTGAACAATTATTTATTGTCTGGTTTCAAATTGTGATAAAGAACTAGAAATCTGGGCCTGGGTGCCTGTTGCTGTGTTTTTCGATGTCGTCTCTCCCTGCCTGGGAATAAGTACCTTCTGGTTTCATTGAGGTCTCTGATGGCATGGGGGAGGGGAGAGGGGCAGACTTTGATCCTGTTGGTCAGGAGCCCGGGCTTTGGGGGGAATCCCAAGAGCCAGCACAGTGACCAGGGGTGAGCTCCTTCCTCACCTGCCCCCTTCCCCCTGGGCCACTGTGAGAAATGACAGTCTGTGACTTCAGTGACACATACACTCTGTATCTCCCTAATAAGCCAGCCTAATGACTTGGGGCTAGGGCAGGCTCACCTGGTGCATACCCACACCCTGGTGTCACCAGTCCTGGACCGCAGCTCTGACTGTTTGTTGGCCTCTTCTGCAGTGCCTGAGGTCATGTGCCCATCCCTGGAGTAGAACTCCTGATAAAACCCCCTTTGTCTTGGAAAGAATGTGGCAGTTAGGCAGGGGTTAAATGCAGGGTGACAGCATTTAAAGTCTCAGGAGTAAATTTGGGCTGCTCTGCAGGCCAGACTAGATGGGCTGCTGCCTCTTGCATCCTGTCCCCAGGCAGAACTGGGCCAGCCAGTGAGGGGGAGGGGGCCAGGGGAAAGCCAGGCTCCAGGTGATGTGGCTTTTGGCTACAATCTAACACACTGACTCCCCCACCCCCAGCAGGGCCTTCACTTAGCAGACCAGGCTGTAAACCTGAGGACCCTCTGTAGGCAAGCCGAGCCAGCCAGGCAGCGAAAAGGGAGGAAATGCCAGAGGATTCATGATGGAGTTGGCCTCCTTTACTTCTTTATTACTGTTGTGACTTTTCCATAATATTGCTCCTTGCAGTGTTATGATGGCAGAGCTGGTCTTTGTTCACTTTCATCCAGGGGCCTTGAACTTGAAGTAGCACCTGTAAATAAAACAGATATCTAAACCTGGAAGAATCTAAAAAGGCACAGGGTGCTGGTTTCTAGACTGGCTTGTACCTTC